CAAGCAGGCAGAGGTCGTGTTAGGAAAGCTTAGCTAAAATTGAACCTGGCAAGAGATTGAATGGCAAGGAGAAGGACTACCATAGGTATGTCAGCACCAAAGAAAGACCAAAGACGGTGTGGGTCTGCTGCTGAATGAGGCGGGCAACTCAGTGGTGAAGGATACAGCAAAAGACTGAGGTATGCAGTGCTTCTTTGTCTCAGTCTTTATTTGCGAGGTCTGCTCTTGCTAGGTGGCAGAGTTTGGGGGGCACAGGTTTTACCCATGATAAAGGATTGAATTAGGAACCACTTCAGCAAACTGGGCACATGTACATCTATGGAACTGGATGAGCTGCCTCTAAGGATGAGGCAGCAGGCTGAGGTCACTGTGAGGCTGCTCTGTGTCAACTTTGAAAGGCCGTGACAATTGAAGATAGGCATGTTGTTTACATTTTTCCAGTCACTGTGGACCTCTCAAGAGTGTGAGAAGGAGAACTGAGGGAACCACAGGCCCGTTGTGCTCCCCCCGAGAACGTTACGGAGCATGTCGTAGAAGCTGTTTCCATGCACAGGGAGGACAGGAAGGTGGCTGGGAAGCTTCAGCACCGGTTTATCGGGATTAAATTGTGCCTGACTAACCTGATTGCCTTCTATGATTAGAGAGATGACTCATTCTGTGAGCTGAGGGGAGAGCAGTGGACATTTACCTTGACTTTAGCAAGATTTTCTACGAGGTCTCTCATAGCATCTTTGTAACTAAATTAGGGATGTATGGACTGGATGAGCAGATTACAAGACGGGAGAAAAACCATCTGGCCTGTCAAGTGTAAGAGGAAGCAGCCGATGGTGGCTGGCTGAGTGGTGTTTCTTACGGGTCAGTAGTGCCGATGCAGCTTAGCATCTGTTCCTAGCGGACAGCAGGTTGAACCTGAGACAGCACCGTGCCTTTGCAGCAAGGAAGGCCTACACCATCCTGGGCTCTGTTAGCAAGAGCATAGCCAGGAGACTAGCAGAAGCGGTTCTTCCCCTATTTTTGGTGCTCAGGAGGCTGCATCTGGAGTACTGTGTCCAGTTTTAGTATCTTCAGTTTGAGAGATGTCAACAAACCGCACGCGAGTCCAGTGGAAGGCTGTTGAGATGATTAGGGGACTGGAGCACCTAAAATTCAGGTGGGCTGAAAGAACAGATTTTGTTTGGTCTGGAGAAGAGAAGGTTAAGGAAGGAGATCCGTTGCCGTCTTCAACTACCTCTGTTAGGAGATTATAGAGAAGATGGAGCCAGGCTCTTCTGAGAGGTGCACAGTGAAAGGAGGAGAAGCAGCAGACAAGTTGCAGCAAAGGAAATTCTCATTAGATGCAAGGAAAATGTTCTTCACAGTGAGGGTAGTCAAACCCTGGGACGGCAACCCGGAGTGGCTGTTGATTCTCCATCCCAGGAGATATTCAAAAGGTTTAACATTCAATTAACTTTTAATTTAGTTCTCTGAGCAGGGAAGGAGGGGAATTCTTTCTGGAGAAAAAAAAAAAGTAGTGGTGGGTCATGGTTTTGATATTAACTGGAGTAGAAATATGGGAAACCACCTTGTTTCCAGTAGACAGTTATGATGAAACCTGGGGACTGAAAGCAGACAATAGGCAAAGTCAGTCTTGAAATAGCCAATGTGCTGTAAATTGTTACATTAATCACTGTCTAAAAAACCAGATATACGACTGGAGATGTGTAACACTAGATCAGATTTTGAAGATCAAAAAACGAAAGAAAACCCCAAGAAGCTTTCTCTGCTAAAGGAAAAAAAAAAAAAGAGCCTTAGTGTTAAAAATGTCAGTGTGCCATTTCATTTTCTCTGTTGGCTGGAGAATATCTATCTGAGATCCTGACTGTGCTTTAAAAGAAGAAATCCTGCCAACTTGATAAAGAATCAGTGTGTGTCTTGATGTAAATCCAGTATTTAGTAGATAAGCTTTCAAATAGTACTTCTTGCCTTTTTCAGGTCTCTGACCTTTCCTTTATAGCTCAGCTTTGGCCCTTTCTATAAAGTCCTGGTGAGTGAAGAGGATGCTGACTGTGCATAGGGAAATGATGCAATTAATGTTAAACACTGTAAGATTTTAAAAAATTAAAAAAAAAACTTAGTTGTGTAATGCAACTTTGCACTGCATAATAATAATCAGTACAGCTTCTAAGTGTGCTGTTCGATAACTCCTTCCATACAGTAACAGCTTACATATTTTAGGTAAACCTTTAATTGATATCCAGTTCTGGTGCTTTGTGTTTGGCTTCTGTTGATTTATAATCTTAGGATTTGTACCTTTGCTTAGTTTTTAGTATTAGGTGACAAACGAAATAAAGTTGCCTCTTTTGCGAATGCTGAAAAACCAACGCTGTACCTAAAGTTGGAAAGTCAAGAAAAGGGAGAAGAATAGCCCAATTTATTTATTTTTTTTATTTGGGAATTGATTGAGGTGAGTTGCCAGAATCATTTTCAGTGGAAGGATGGTTGTCGCACACTTTCTTTCCCTTTTCCAATTATTTAAAAGGAATCTGTAGCTTTTAGTAAGTATGGACTGCTCAATCAAAGCTTTTGGTTTATCTTAATAAAATAGAGTATAAATCTGCAATCTGTTTGCAAAATAGAGTACAAATCTGCAATCTGTTTGCTTAGCACAATTCCTCTGTACAACCTCTGAGGTGTTAAACATGAAGCCCGCGTTGCGACCGGCACCAGCCTTTCCTTTCAAGACATCTCCTTATTAATGCCTTTGGAGCAAACCTGCTGGGCTGAGCTGTTTGGCTTGGGAATCGGGTTGAAAGTGACCGTCCCTTAAAGACGACAACGATTTGAAGATGCCTTTGTGCTCCATGTCCTTTGGTAGGGAGTGAAAGAAGCTTGTGACTTTTCTTGGAAATGCCAACTTTGTGGCTTGATCTGTTTGGGGCTCTCCTTTTGTTTTGTTTTTCTAATTGTGCTTCAGCCACGCTTCTCTTTACAGCATCGAGTTAGGCAAGACGATTTTACCAGCCGTTACACCAACCTGAAATCCTGTTGGTCCCCTTAGTAGATGTTACAGTTTAGGATATGTTGGTGTTCATTATATTCAGCATTTTATAACTTGGCCGTAAATTTGCTTCAAGGGGGAAAAATAATTATTTTGGTCTCCCCTCTGTATTTCTATGCTGATTGCAGGTGGTTATTCCTTAATATGAGCATGTCCCCTCTGGCCTGATGGGTGACTTATCTGGTGGCTTTTTTTTCCCCTTTGCTAAGATTTCCCTCTTTAATTTTTGCAGAACACGATGTCTTTAAAAGCTAGCCTTTTCTGGTCTGATGTTAATGAATCACATATTGGCAATGTTTTCCCTGACACGATAAACAATTGTTCTGTTCGTCTGTCAGGTTAGTGAGCCACAAACTCTGAAATGTTTTATTTATGCCTTTTTTTTTTTCCCTCCCCTCTCCAATATACATGTTTTGACAGCCATTATAGCCTTCCCCAAAAATGTTTTAGGCTTTAGATATTTTAGGCTGTAACAGTTTGAAGGGAATTAATATTTTTGTTTGCGAGTTTGAATCTACCTGTTCTTGTTTTGTTTTTGTTTTGTTTTTGTTTTTGTCAATTGGTACTCTCTATGCTAAAAAAAGTAGACTCTGGAGCTTAATTCTAATCTGGAAGTTTCCAGTTATGCTGGGCCGGAAGTCAGATGAGGAATCTTTATAGAATATTTAATAAAGTGCTGAAATTAGTCATCCTTATGCTTTTGGCATGCACTGTTCTTTCAGGTATCAGCATAGCTCATATCTCTTACTCAAGGTGTCTTATTTTCAACCACGTTTAATACCAGGATCTTCATCATCAGGGGTCATTAGAGAGACCAACGTTCTTCTCGGAGAGGAGCTGTTAATCCTGCTCACATCCTGGTTTGGGAATTATCCACATTATCTCTGCAGTTTCAGATGGTTTCAAAAGAAGTTTCCTTCTTCCTCCTGTAAATCTGTCCTATGCTGCAGTCCTCTGTTACACAACTACCTTACTCTCCAGGAGAGGTGGCTATTTTGGGGGGGCTGAGTGAAGCAATTCCTATATGGAAATGAATATTATTCCCACTGATGGTGTTGGAGATTATGTTGATTTATGGCTTTCTTTTGTGATCTTTGGTTCAAGGCTACTTCGAATTGCTTTTTGTTTTGTTTTCCTCTCTCATTGATCAGTAACTTACTGTTTGTCACTAAAAGAGGGTTTTTATACTAGCTGGAACAATTCATCTCTGTTAGACATCCAGGGATAAATGGGGTGGAGGGAGAAAAAGGTTAACAATGAGCTTTTTCAGTGTTAGACCTCAATGAAGTTGAGAGCATTTGAGTCGGTTGCAAAGGGTGATGCATTGTGGAGTTTTTCATTCTCTCTCTCTCTCTCTCTCTCGTGTTTCTTCGGACCAGAACACGTCAGGTAGCGCTGAATCTTGGCCCAGTCCCTGCAGCTTATCTCTACGCCTTGGGACTCGAAGGAAAAGGTCTTGATTATACAAAACTCCCTAGTCTGAGATTTTATACTATTGCAGCGACTGAGCGGGTGGAAGTGGTTGGAGTGTCTTTCAGCTTGACCCCAAGGCCAAACGCAGTTCTCAACGTTTGCTCTGGTTTTCCCTCTTGCCCAGGCTTTGTTTCCAGATGACTAGTACTACAGGCTCAGTCTGTTCTGGGAGCCTCTTCCTGACAAGTACTGTTTGAAAATAAATAAATAAAAACAAAACAGAAAAACCCTGCAAGGCAGTTGTATTCCAGTTCTCTTCCATACAAAGCAAGCCCCAGACTTCTGTTAGTGTGCCTGTATGTGTGGTGTTTCATCCTTGCGTTGTAATAGTGTTGAAGGCACTCTGACTGAGTCTAGGATCTTGGGCGTTTTTACCTGGATTTTGATTGTGGTAATGATTGTGAGAAACTTTTACTGAACGCTTCTGGAACCTCTTCGGAGGTCACTTGTGATAACATCACAGTTTTAACAGAACGTGATTTTTTTGCAGGTATTCAGAGCGAAGCCTCACAAAATGTATTGGCATAACAATAGAGACCAGACCAGATTACTGCCTGAAGCGGCACTTAAGTGACATGTTATCCTATGGCTGTACAAGACTAGAGATCGGCGTGCAGAGCGTGTATGAGGATGTCGCCAGGGACACCAACAGGTGAGAAGAAAGCTTCGACGTGAAGCTGAACGTGACTGCTCACTGTATGCTTTGTAGAGTACTCCAAAGCAGCGTCTCTTAACCTGCTTCTTTGAACGCCCGTTTAGCTTGTTTTCTTGCTCGTTTGGCATATGCCTGTTAAGAAGAAGTAATCAACTGTAAAGGCTTCAATGGATGACTTTGTGGTATTGTGTAGACCATGGCTTGAGAAAATGGGTTTGTGATATTTTATTTTCAACTCGTGGTCTGTTCCTCTGTTGTGGTGTTTTGTTTTGTTGCTTCATAAATATATACAGTATTGTGAAGTGGAAAACGTACCCAGGGAGCACTCATAGTTCTTGTCCTACGTAATTCATGATCTATACTGTCAAGTAGCTACAATGCAGTGCAATCTATTGGAGGTACTTCACAGGCAAACAGCATGTTCTCTTTAGCAGATACCTTTTTCTGTTGATCATCAGAGAGGTGACATTTGGCAAGTGCAGAGTGTGAGACAGCCAGAAACAAGACCTGCTGATAGATCAACCGGAGTCATTCTAGGCATACAGTATTCCTAGGGATTGTAAAATATATTCACAAGATGTCTCTGATTTATTCCTTGTCATCCTGGACCTGTGGCCAAAAGAACAGTTGTTCTGCGTAGGAGTGTGTGCGGTACGGTGGCATACTTGCCTGTAAGGGATAGGAAGAACAATCTTTTTTTGTCATTGCAATTCTGATAATTCCCTTGGTATTTTGAAAAGAGGTGACTTTTCTCGTGTTTGTTTATTCATTTCTGACACGCTTACAACTTGCCTTCACTCCTACTGCTTATTCCAGTCACCTACCAAAGATGTTTAATAACCACAATCATAAGAAATGACAGAGAATCATAGGTAAGGTTCAATAAGTGAAGCACATTTTTCTTAATACCTACCTTAAAGGCAGTAGTGCAAAACTGAGTATGTTGAACATTTCCTTTTAGAGACTCAAAGTAAGAATCCAAAATTAGATTCCTCCTGCGGGTTTAGCTGTAGTATTGCTGGTGCGTGGAAGTGCAGGATGTCACTGCTGTGAAATGGCCAGACTCCAGGTCTGAGCAGACAGGAAAAGCCTTTTGTTGAGCAACCCAAGAGTTAACAGCAAACGTTTATAGGTGGCGCTTTCCTCCTCTAGATGTCAGAGCTTTCCAAAGGAAAAGATCCATACTAAGGACCGTAGCTAGATCTCCTCCCTCTTGGCCTAGATGTATTTGTTAATGGCCAATTCTGGCGCAGATTGTAAGCTTAACAAATCCTTTGTTTTCAGCTTTTTAAATCTTTTTTTTTTTTTACAAGCTCCTTCTAAAGATGTGGAGGTGTAAAGCCCCACTTAACTATCACTTCAGCATTCGTCTTTGGTTTTTTCCTCCAGTTTTATCTGTCAGATCAGAGCTGCTGCCGTAAATCATTCAAAGCTATATGTCACTTCTGGCTTGTAAGTTTGCTAACGACACCTTGCTTTCCTGCTGGTGAATCAGAAGAAGAATGAAGTAGTGTATGACTGGCTTTATTTCCCACAGAAGCAATCGCTTATGGAATTGTGTATTTTTTAAGGTTTTGGCACTTTTCAAAGCTGCTTGCAGAATCCCTAAAAGCTTGTGCAGCAGGATTCCCTGGCTCTTTTACAGCAGAAAAAAATGCAGGCTGTTAATTCAAATGTGTCTCCAACTTTTTAGAACAATGAATTGGAATATACGTTTAGAGAAGTGTGATGCAAGTTTCTTTCTTTCGAAACGACCTCAGTTTGCTTCCATTCTTCTATTACTTTGTGGGGGATGTGTTGTGCTTTAAACTTTTAATATTTTGCTTGTAGCAAAATGTCAGATTACAACCAATTAGGCTAACTGTTTGGAAATTACTTTCTATTATGTTCCATAAGTCATTAGTGAGGTTTTTGAGTGCTTTGGGTGGCTGTGAGGCAGAAAAATATTCAAGAACAGATCTAGGCATCAAATAATCAAGTTATTGATGCAGCTCAGATTCTACTTCTAGTAAGAAAATAATTTTTATTTATGAAGCAAGTCTCCATTTACTCCCCTCAGGCTACTCAAGGTCTTGACTAATACTGTCCTTGAACAGTCTTATAAAAACACTGTAATATTGCCAAAAAAAGTCATAAGTAAAACTATAGCCATAAAACTGCATGTAGAGATTTAGCAGAGGCAGAACCTTTGAGGAGAATGGAAGGAAGAGGTTCTTAAAATCAGGGAAGTAGCTACCTGGTTTGGTTAACGTTAAGTTAATAGAGATGCGTTAATTCTGCCTCCAAAGGACCATCGAGGAGAAGCAGGGTTGCCTGCTGAGCTGATTTGTTGGTAAGGAAATCCAAAAGACAGAGCAGACTGGGGCAAAAGCATGATGGGAAGAAGACAGTGGGGAGGAAAGAGGGGAGCAGACATTGAAAGGATAGAAACGGAGTTCCCCGGCTGCTGGGCCCGGGAACGGCATCTGCTCCAAGAGAAATAGGAGCCCTCCGAGCAGGGGAAGAGCAAAAGCAAGGACTTTGTGGGAAGGCTGGTCGCAGGTGATGGGGAGCTGCTAGTAACTGCAGAGGGCTCCTGGATCATGGAGATGGAACAGGAGAAAAGAGTTTGCTTGAGGCTAATCAGTTACGTGAGAGTCAACCTTTGCTTCTGCAGTCGATCTGGTTGCAGAGTGATTTTCTAGCTCGTTAGTTTTATGTAGTTGGTTTTCCCCGCTTTCCCCTTCCATGCTTTTTTTTTTCCCCCGTAGACTTTATTTTGGTTTTATGCGGTCTTCGGTGCAGAAGACGTCTGCTTGTCGTTGCTTTGCGAATGGAATTTCAGCAGCTTTCAGCAGTTTCTTGGCCCGTGGTTTGGGAAGCTGTGGCCTTGCGCGATACACCTGCTATAGAAGCACCACACTCAAATGCTTTTAGCCTCTAGTTTAGTTGAATAGCAGCCGTGTTCCGTAACTTGAATTAATGGCAACGAACTGATAGTAAAACTCATCCCCGCCAAGGAGAGATGCTCCCTTCCTAGAGAATGATCCCACTTCAACGTGTCGAAGTCTATCTTGGCTTGTTCCTCTTGGCTGCAGTGCCCTTGGGCGTTTGGGACTCTAAATGTGGTTTTCTTCTTCCCAGAGGTCACACCGTGAAGGCTGTGTGCGAGTCGTTTCACTTAGCCAAGGACGCCGGCTTTAAAGTGGTGGCGCACATGATGCCCGATTTGCCAAACATGGGGCTCGAAAGGGACATTGACCAATTTGTTGTGAGTATGGCTTTAAATAACCAGGAGGTTTGTGTTTTTTGCGGTTTATCTAATGCTGCTTCTTTTTCTTAGCTCAGCTATTAGATACAATACAGGCCGGGATATTTTCTTAAGGACAAATAATTTAAAGTTCCTTTTTGAAGGTGGAGGGTAAGAAAGATTTGTTGAACTACTTCATCCAGAAAATTATATCCTTGCCTCATGAAAGACTGAGTCACTCGGGTCTCTGTGGAATAGAGCTCTTCCGGTATTAACTAGGGCTCTAACTTTTTTCCAAGATGGTTTTCTTTCCTTGGATTTAGAACTGTATATGTTTCAAAGGTAAAAGCATGCCATCTCAAAGGTAATTAATTGCCAAGTAGAGTATGTAGGCGCGTTATATAGCATCTGTGTTCCTGGCTCATTGCTATTCAGTGTCTTTATCAATGAAGTGGAAGAAAATATAAGATTTCTAGAGAAACTGAAACGAGGAATAAAATGTGTATGGTCAACAGTGTAAGGAGTTAACCACTAGAGTCAAAACTGGTTTGTCTTTTTAAAAGAGGTGATGCAGAAATTAGTGTCCTGGTACAGGAATCACAGGTGTATTTCTGTGCAAGGTTAGACAAGGTGATCATAATGGGACTTTCTGGCATGAAAAAGCTATCGGTGTGCAGGAATATTTCAGTTAGATATATAATGTGGTTTATCTTGATGTGTTGCAGGCAGACACATCTAGGAAAAGTAATCCAAAACGCAGGTATACGGTACAGGAAGGAAACTCTGAAATTTGTGGGAGATACTTTTTATAAGGGGTTTTGTGCAAGATTCTTTGAGCATTTCATAATGTCATAGCACTTAGTAAATATTATATTCACATGACAAAGCGAGAGGCTGGGGCAAACGGATTAGGTGACGTGCGCAAACCTAGAGGTGAAGCCAGTGATGGAGCTGAGAGTTAACTCAAAATTCCTGACGCAGACTCTGTTGCTGCTGAATTATTTTCTTGTAATGCTGAAGGAGATAAAGGGTGACAGTGGACATCAAATTAGCTGTGTTCTCATATAATTACTTGTGCTGCAGGGTAAGGCAAAAACAGAGTCCCTTACTAAATATTTAGTGGAGTTGTAGCTGTAGTCCTGGGTTCTTTATGGGTCTGTCATAACTGAAAGTAGTATTAGGCTGGAAACGCTTTGTGATGGAAAGATAGCGATACTGACTTAGAAGAGATTTAAAGAGCTGACCTTGGATAAGACCCAAGAAAGAGGACACGTGAAATATTTCCAAGATGTAAAAATGAAGAGGGAGAAATTATTTGAGGGCAGAATTACATGCAGCTATAGAAAGTATTTTATTTAGTGATTTTTATTCTTCACTTTTTATTCATGATAAAGGGCTAAGGCTTTTCACCCATAGATTCTGGAGTTGCTCTTGTTTAATTGCAGGAGATTTTGGGAAGCTCTGGAAGAACTCTTCCAGCAGTCTGTCTAAAAGCTATAACTTCAATGATGCTGAACTGCCTCCAGCTTCTGTAGGCGAGAGAGCTGTCTTGCTTGTTAGGGGAAGGTAATGCCATGTTGTATTTTGTCCATTTATTGATGACAATTGTTGCAGAAAAGGAAAAATCTGAAGGCAGAATTTTCCAAAAAAAAAAAAGGGGGGGGGGATACAAAAATGTGGTGAAATGCTGGAATTGCAAGGGTGGGGATTAAACAAAATCTAGGAAAATAGACTTTAGCATAGAAAAGCAGGAGAAGGACAAAAACAGAGTAGAACAAGTTAACCTGTGTAGAATATTTCTGCGAGAGAAGTGTCAGAGCTTTAGGAGCTGGGAAAACCAGTGCTGACAGTGTGGTGGCTATGGGACGTGGCAGGAGGGAGTTTACACTTTGTGATGGGGAAGGACAGGAAAGTTGACAGTAGATGAGAATGAGGCCTGGAGAGAATTAAGATGTCTTTCAGTGGAGAAAAAGGAAGGGGTAAGATCAGATGAAAATTTTGGGCTGGAATTAGCAAAAGGGCTGAATGGAGGGCTAGGAAGGAGAAATGATAAGCAGTAGAAAAACAGGTGGTAGTTTAAGAGGGGTATTCAAGAAGTTGATGGGTGAAGACTAGCTCAAGTGACAGCTGTGTGGATGAGTTAAGAAATTTCAAGCTGGATTCACAGATCAAATTAAGATTTGATGCTAGTAAACACACAGATAAGGAGCTGGAGGATGAGTAATCAATGTGGAGCCCTGAAGAAGTTAATGAGAATGCTGCAGAGTGAGGATGAGCAATTGGACTTGGAAAGGCATGCTGGTGGGGAAGAAGTGATAGATCACATCATGGAGGAGAGAAGAATGGGACCTGTGAGAAGGAAGTATGGAGGAAGAAAGGAGAGGAGGAAGAAACAAAAAGGCTTGTGTTAGAGAGGCGAGCAGAGTCCCCCTTGGGATGTGAGACAAGACGGCATGTGAAGACGGACCTGGGCGCAAGAGGCAGCTGCCAAGTGATCGCTGCATGTTTCAGAAAACGGAGCTGCAGGCAACGTGAATGGAGAGGTTGTGGATCACTCTGACATGTTTCAAGATGGAAGGGTAAACAAGGCACTGTTATCCTCTGCCTTTTCCCTTCTCTTCTGCCTTTCTTGTCCTATCTTAAATGCTCTACACTTTATTTTTGAAAGCTCTCTTTGTCTTAGGAGAGAATAGAGCTGAGTAAAAATGACCCTTCTTTTTTCAAACCTCCGTGCTGGTGAACGTAATAGAAGTACGCAGAAGAAGTAATTCCTTTTTTGCTGGGGCTTCAGCTAGATACTACATTCTCTATTTCCTGCTTAAAATTTCTGTATCATGGATCTGAGATGCTAAAAACAACTTATTTATACGTTGTAAAAAAACAAACAAAAAAAGGAACAAAGAGCCCGACTTATTTACATGTTGTGCCGTATAAATGGTGTTCCATTCTGGTAAGTATTTAGATGCTTATCTTGCATAAAAGTAAGGAGAGAACAAAGAGAGGAACCAAGACGAGAGTATCTGTTGTGTTCCTGCAACACTACTGAGCTGTTCACTAGTGGAAGTAGTGCTATTTTATGCACTCTGTGAGTCTGTATTCTTCTAGTTCACCAAAAGGCAAAATCTCACTATAAGATACCTCTAACTTCTCAGGACAAACACCTGTGTCTTATAAAGGATCCTGGATAGATTTGTGCTTTTCGGGTAGCTCTAAATAAGTTTCGAAAAAATAAATTTATTTACTGTGACACTAAACTTTTTTCTAGCCACATACTTTTCAGACTGGGAAAAGATACAAGAAGGAGCTAAGATGACTTTAGATAAAGAGATCTAAGCGCTTTGGCTTCATTGCCAGTTGATATATTAAATATAGGGACTTCTGGGAAGTTAATAAATTGCTGATTGTGTCTACTGAGTACTAAAAATACTGGATGCTGCTTCAAATTGAGCAGGCAACTATGTTTTCAAGAGTAACATCGCTTCCGTCCCTTACGACCTATTGATTTTTGCAGCATTTCCTGCTACTTCCATCTAGCAGTTAGGACACCCGTTGGTTACTCTTTTGCAAGCCTGTCTAGATTTTTGAAGTTGTGTGTATGTAAAGCAACAGTTTTCATGGAGAGTCTAATTATTAATAATTAAATTAATAATTATTTAAACTGTAAGTTATTGATAGGAGTCAATTAGATATGTATCTCATTCTATGTATATACTCTCTTCTACAGTATGCAGCAGCTCACTGGCTCTTTGCCTGTCCTCATTGCGGAGGTTGTCACAATTTTTTAAATCAGAATGGATATACAAGTTCTGTGTCCCAGCTATGTTGCGCTTCCCCACCCTTCCCTCCCCCTACTGTGTCTCTTTTTCCCATTACTATTGGTTCTTTTTATAGTCTCAGAGGATTTCCTTTCTACTTCAGGCCTTTTCATCCCGTTCCAAATATGAGAAAACTCTGTAGGAGGGAACATGCTCTGCTTCCTCCCACCAGCCAAGTTGTTGTGCCAGGAGTATCAGGTAGTACACACGCACAGACACACACACAGGCGCGCGCACACACACGCTGCTGCTTATTGTTGGCAAATGCACGCACAACAGATAAGACCGATTTGCAATGCCTCACCTAGCAGGTGGTCCGAGAAAATAATTAGAATAATAGCTAGAATAAATCAAGGACTCAGCAGGGATAATGGAATTGTTACCAGAGCGGACACCTCATTCTGTGGAACGCGATAAACACTCAGCTTTGCTGTTGGAGCACGAGAGAGATGAGGTGACTCTAGGGGTAAATGGTTGGGAGGATTCATGAATCACACTTGCCAACAGGGCTACCAAGCAGAACTTTAGGATTTAAGCAAAAGCTTTAGGAGGCTAAAGAATTCCCAGGGTGCTATTGCTGATTCCTCCTGCTTTTGCAGAGCCACTAAGTGGCAACAGCGCAATCAACAAACTGTATCTGTTCTAGTATAAATATTACTAAGCAAGTAACATTTATTAATGGTGAAGGTATTGCTGTGTTTACCTATCGTATTTCTTCTGTAGTCTTTGTCTAAGCGTGATTTACTGCTGCTGTTCCTCTTGGTCGTCCGGGAGGGATGACTGTAAACCCATCTCAAACAGCTTCAAAGACCCTTCCCGAAAGGGGGTAGGTGGAATAAATCTGGGAGACAGCAAATAGAAAAGGGAGCAGGGAGGAGGGTTAGAAGGCTAGAAGTCCCTAGTGTGGGAAGCATCTGGGGGGGTGTCGTAGTGTGCCATCGGCAGACTCCTCCAGCTCTGAAGGCATGCAGGGAGTTGGATGCTGCCCAGAAGCACGAAATAGTCTGTCAGTTGCCGAGAAGCTCATTCTCTGCTCGAGCTTCAACCTCCTGGCGTTTCCGATGGCCAGCTCGGTCGTTAATATGAGCAGATCCACAAGGAGGTCTGTGAAGAGGTCCTATGACTTTACTCTGTCCATCTGAGGTCGCATAGAAATAAAAAGGTGAGGGTAAAAGCGCATGATCCAAGCTTAAGTTATGCAGAGGGCCACTGCCTTCTTTGGAGTGTTGACCGTATGAGAGAGAGAGAGAGAGAGAGAGAGAAACAACATCCAAGTAATGCAATAGGTGG